GCTTTGTGATCTATTGCCTCAGGTTGAAAACTCAGATGCCCTGAGGGGCTGATGATAAAGCCAGCCCACTAGAGGGGAAATTCTCAGATGCAAGACAGTTGTGAGACTTCCCCTCGCTTGGCTTTATTGAGGTGAAACCCACATACAAGACACCACACATATTTAAAAGGTATAATTTGATGAGGTTTGGCATAAATATAAACCTGTGAAAACACCCCACAATCAAGATAATGACCATAGATAGATAATGGACATACACCTCACCCCTTCATTTCCTCCTGCCTCTGCAAACTTCTAATCCTCCCTGCCCCCCCCCAGCACCCCACCCCAGCCCATGGTCTGCTTCCTGTCTCTATCATTCCTCTGCATTTTCTCTTTTCTTTTTTATAAAGGTTTATTTATTTGTGGGTACAGAACTGGGATACAGGTCAGAAGTGTTGGGGGGGAGGGTTGGTGAGAGGATTCACCAGAGACAGTGGGGAGCAGAACAAGTACATTGACTGAAAACTGCTAGGGGGAGCAGTAGTCTGGTCAGGAGAGGTCTGCTGTGCCCTGTGGGTCAGCTCCCTGGCTGGGGATCAAACTTGTGCTGCAGTGGCTGTGACAGCTTCATAGTGCTGAGACTTAACCCCTTGCGCCACCAGGGAAGGCCCTCCTCTACATTTTCTAGAATGAGATTATTTAGTGTGTGCTTTCCTGTCTGGCTTTTTTCTTTCAAAATCATAATATTGAGATACCTTTGTGTTGAAGGATGATTCATTCTTTTTCCTTTCTAAGAGTTTTTCTGTGGCAAGAATGTCCAGTGACCTGGTTACAGAGGCACCTGTGGATGGACTTTTGGGCCTTTCTGTTTGGGACCACTACAAATCAAGTGTCAGGAGCATTTAAAGATTTATTTATTTGTGCTTACAGAACTGGGGTACAGGCCAGAGGTGCAGGGCGGTGGGAGGATTCACCAGAGACAGAGTGGGGAGCAGAACAGGCCAAATGACGAAGTACACTGCTGAGGGGAGCAGCGGGTGGGTCAGGAGAGGTCTGCGGGCCATGTGGGTCACCTCCAGGGTGGGGGATCGAACTCTCACTGAAGTGGCTATAGCTCACTTGCAGGGTTGCATTTTAACCCACTGCGCCACCAGGGAGGGCCCCCGGTATAAGCTTTTATATGAATGTATATTCTCATTTCTTCAGGCATGGATTTATCTAGAAGTGGATTGCTGGGTCATACGGTGGATATCTGTTTAGCTTTTCAAAGTGCCAGGCTGTCTTCCAAAGTGGTCATGCCATGGTGTCACTTACCTAATAATAATTCATTGACAGTTCAGTCTTTCAGTTCTTTCATTCCTTCATTGAACAGCATGTGTTGGGCACTGTTGCTGAGAGGGAAGCTCGCCTTCCTCTACCCCTTGAGAGCCCCCTGGCTGGAGCTAGTTAAATTGACAGGAGCACTTAGGAAAGAAACTTTTCAGTATGTGAGCACAGTGAGTCATACATGGTATTATGGGAGCTATGGCCCCAGGCATCCCAGTGAGAGTGTAGTTTTTAGAAAGGTGATACTAAATTTGGGAGGGGGAAGCAGAACAAAGACCTTTACAACTTAAAGAGAGGGATTTTGTAGGACTCTACCTTTGCCTTGAAATAGGCCTCACAAGCCCGATTCCTGGGGATAATGGGGTCTCTCATCTCCAGGGCCACCAAAGAGATTTATTTCCTGATCTTAGGGGCATAGATAATAGGCAAAAAAAAAAGGTCTTTCTTGGATTTTCCTCTTCTTCCTCTTTTTTTTAAAGATTTACTTTATTTATTTATGTAAGAGCTAGGATGTAGCCAGAGGTGCAGGGCCTGAGAGGATTCACCAGACAAGTGGGGTGCAGAACAGGCGGATCTACTGAAATCAACTGCTGAGGGGAGCAGTGGGGAGACAGGAGAGGTGTGCTACACCATCTGGGTCAGCTCCCTGGCTGAGGACTGTACCGGTGGCACAGTGGCTACCAGTGGCTTCAAAGTGCTGAGGCTTAACCCCTTGTGCCCCCAGGGAGGACCACCTTCTTGGATCTTCTGTCTCAATTTCTCTCCATTCAGAATGATCACAGTGCTACGCTGGCACCTCCTGGGGCAGCCTGTATTTGACCCCCACTCTGTTCTGGGCTGGGCTCTGTTCTAAGCATAGCGGAGTCAGCAGTGAGCAAGAAAGACAAAATTCCTGGGGAGCTGGTGTTTCACCTCAGCCTCTCAGCACGGGTGATGAGGTGCAGAGGTTGGGAGTTTCTCCACAGGAACCAGGTGGCCGGGGGCTGAAGTCAGCCTTGGCCACTTCCTAGTTGTGTGGCTTTGGGTAGTGGCTTTATGTCAGGAGTCTCAGCCTATAAAAAGGGGTGCTGATGCAATTTTTACCTTCTAAGATTGTGCCAGGCAAGGTATTTAGCATTAGTTGTAGGCTGGGGAGAGCCAAGAATCAATAGACAGAATTGACAGTGTTCCATAATGGGGGTGGAGGGTGGGGTGATATCCTTGTGGTTTAGATTTGAATTTCCCTGATAATTAGTGTTGTTTACTATCTTTTAATGTGCCTATTAGTCATTTGTGTATCTTCTTTAGCGAAACATCTATCTAAATTCTTTGGCCTTTTTTTTTTAACTTTTACATAGAAAAGCTGGGGTACAGGCCAGAGATATGGGGGTGAGAGGACTCACTAGAGACAGAGTGGGGAGCAGAACAGGTGTATTGACTGAAATACTCTGCTGAGGGGAGCAGCAGGGAGACGGGAGAGATCTGCTGCGCCTTGTGGGTCACTCCCTGGCCGGGGATCGAACTCGCGCAGTCGCTGCCGATAGTTTTATAGTACTTTGACTTAACCCCTGCGCCACCAGGGAGGTCCTGATGACCTGCTTTCTGCTTGCACTGGGAATGATGTCCATATTAGAATTCAACAGAGAAAAGGCAGCAAAACCTTTATTACTAACCAAGCGACTGCTCATGATCACGATAAAAAGAAACCAGGTGCTGAAGAGGAAATTTGCCTGCAGCAGTACCTGTGATTGAGCATCCATAACATGGAGAAGCAATTCAGCTACTGTGGCCCTTGCGAGGATGTAGGCTGGTTTCGTGTAGAGACCAGACCAGGCTCATGGTCATAAGTGCTTCGGCTCATTGAGACTTAAGTCAGATTTTCTTGGCAATGCATAGAATTTTCCCGTTTGCCCCTTGTAGCGAATTTGACAACTTCACAGCTTGTGTAGTGTCACCATGTGGGGTCTTAGACTACTGTAACTCCTTCAGACCATAAACTGGAAAAAGTCATAAGAAAAATGCAACACGTTTGTGCTTCAAAGAACACAACCAACGGAGTGGAAAGGCAGCCCACAGATGAAAGATCAGCCATGTGTCACTCCACTTGGGGACAGTTCTGAGAAATGTGTTGTTAGGTGATTTCCTTGGGGTGACTGTCTTAGAGCATATTTGTTCTCTAAGCGGTACTTCTCCATTTCCTGGGTGGTGCAATCCAGGAGGGCATTTTGGAAGAGGAGCTGGGTCATCCATGACTGTCCTGTACACTGGCAGTGTGAGCTACAATGTCCCTAGCGATGGGAATTTGGGGACCACCTGAATGCATGGGTTGGTCTTGTTTTTACCTGTTATTATGCAAACCCTATATCGGATACAGAGTTATGAGCTAGAATGTAAAGAACTACAGCTCAAGAATAACAATGAAATAACCCAATATAGAAATGGTCAAAGGTAATCTCTAGACATTTCTCCAAAGAAGGTGCGTGGAAAAGGGCCCTTCACTGATCATTAGGAAATGCAACCCCAAACCCGGTACACTGTTGGTGAGAATATAACTTGGTGCAGCTGCTATGTTATATTCAATATAAACAATTTAAAGGTTCCTCCAAAAATTAAACAGAATGACCATGTGGACCAGCAATCCCATTTTTTTTTAAGATTTATTTATTTATGCATACAAGAACTGGGGTACTGGCCAGAGGTGCGGGGGGTGAGCGGACTCACCAGAGGCAGAGTGGGGAGCAGAACAGGCAGATGTACTGAAATCCACTGCTGAGGGGAACATGGGCAGGACAGGAGCGGTCTGCTGCGCCATTTGGGTCTCCTTCCGGCAGGGAATCAAACTCATTGCAGTGGCTGCGTATAGCTTCATAGTGCTGTGCTTTAACCCATTGTGCCACCAGGGAGGGCCTGCAAACTCCAAAAGCAATGAAAGCATAATCTCAAAAAGGTAGTCCCACACCTGTGTTCATGGCAGCATTAATCACAATAGCCGAAGAATGGAAAAACCCAAATATGTAGAGGTGAAGAATGACAGGACAGACTACAGTGTGGCCCATGTACACAATGGAACACCGGCCTGTCAGGAGAAAGGTGGAAAGGCTGGTACCTCCTGCAACATGGGTGTGAGAACAGTAGCCCGAGCAGAAGTCAGTTCACAAAGAGATAAGTCCTGTTTGGTTTCACTCATCAATGTTTTATGTGTATCATAAAGCACAGTGTCCTCAAAAGAGGGAGGCAGGAGGGCCGGTAGGGATCGGGTGACATCTGTAGTAGGCAAAGTCATGGAAACTGAGAGGTTGCCAGGGCCTGTTGGGGAAGGGAGAGTGGGAGTTGTGTTCACAGAGTGTGGCGTTTCAGCTTTACAAGATAAGAAATAAACACAGAAAATAAGAACAACCACAAGTCGCTTCTCCAAAGGGAGGTGCTGAGAGTTATGTCATCAGGCAGCGTCGTTTACGGGCCAGAGTCCCATAGTGTGTGATTACGCAATCCTAGGTGGTCAACCCCTGAGGACAGCCGTCATATATGGGCTCCCTTGCTGGCCGACATATAACTTGTGTTGGTCATTGTACAGCATTAAGGAAGTGATAATGTCTGTGGGAAAATGTAAAGATCATGCTAAAGGAGTTTATTAGTTTCCTGTTGCTGATGTAACAAGTCACAACACTTTTTTTTTTTTTTAAAACCCACAAGTTTATTATCTTGCAGTTCTGAGGGTCAGAAGTCCAAAGTAGGTTTTAAGGGCCTAAAATCAAAGGCTGAGTTCCTCCTGGAGCTCCCAGAGGAAAACCATTCCTGTGTTCCTCCTGTGTACCTGCATTCTTTAGCTCCTGGCCATGTCACACCTGCCTCTGCTGGTGCCACTGCACCACATCTTCTGATTCTGTCTTCCTGCCCCCAACTTATGAGGATGATGTGTTTTATGTTCAGTCCACCTAGATCCAGGATAATCTCCCTCACTCAAGATCCATAGCTGAATCAGGTCTGTGAAAGTCTCTTTTCCGGTGTACAGTAACACATGTACAGATTCTGTGAACTAGGAGATGGACTCTTTCGAGAGACAATATTATTCTGCCTTCAACAGAGCAGTAGAAGGCAGACGGGTTGCAGTTTTAGGAGCATCTGGAAGAGACGCTGGTCTGCTGAAGGGAAGGAGGGGCTGCGTGGCTATTAGGGAAGGGCATTCCAGGAGGCGGGAACAGCCTTGGCAAAGGCCCAGAGGTGGGCGCAGTGTCCTTTTCCCGAGTGCCCCCTTCCTGACCGTCTCTAAACCATAGGGCTTTGAAGTTGGTGCTGTCCCAGTTTCCACTAGGATCTTGTTTGAGGATCAGAGGGTGTGAGACCCCTGAATCATCATTGTTCTCTGGGCACAGTCGCTACTTCCCATGGTTCCTCAAAAGGCAGGTCAGCCTAGGAGAGAGGCAGAAGCCTGGGTCAGAGAGGCAAGGAGTCCAGCCCTCCCCGCCACCTGCCGTCTGGATGGGCATTCACCTCGGCCCCAGCATGGCCCTGTCCGTGCAGCGTGCGTCTCCGGTGCCACTGGCGCAGAGAGGCGCGGGCTTCATTGCTGAGCCCCTGAGGTGCGCGGTCTGTGTCCTCCTGGTAGTGGGCAATATGGTGCAGAGCTCCAAACCACGTGGTCAGGTAGTACCCAGCTAGGGGCAAGAAGAGGGTGGTCAGCTTGGCTCTAGGTTGTCTTGGTGCGGTTGTTTGGGGAGTGGGTGGGTGACCTTTGGGCGCCCCCTATTGGGTCCTGGCGTTCTGGGGATCTGGGCTCACCCTCTCCCATCAGCTCTTCAGGGTCCAAGAGTTCCATAAGAAACTCCACGTCCAACTGAGTCTCCCCAATATCCGGACTCCAGATCAGTTCCTCCGTCAGTGCCGGCAGGAAGGCGTCAGCCCCCAGGGGCTCTGGGGGAGCCGAAGTACAGACTCTGAGGAGGATGGGGACGTGCAGACATCTTCCATCCGACCCCAGAGTCGTGAGCACTGGCCGCCCTTCCACCTTGTTGGGCAGGAAAACTCCTCTTACCGGACCCCCAGGCCCTCTCCCCTCGTGCGCACAGGCGCAGGGCTACCTCCCTAGCTCGAGCACTCCACATCTGGGTAGATGGGGGCCCCTTACCTTTATTCTCGCCGGGAGCCAGGCCCGCGTAGATGTCTCTGCACACAGCCAGCAGTAGCGCCACCTTGCGGCGAGGGGCGCAGGCAGCGTGGAGGTGCTCCAGGCGTGCGTGGATGCGGTTCCGCAGGGCGGAGGCGGGGCCCTGCCCTTGAGGCCCCGCCCCCTGAGGCCCCGACCCCGCCCTCAGGGAGATTTGTCGCCTCCGCAGTCGTCGCAGCTCCGGGGCTCTGAGTGTGCGGAGTCGCGTCCACAGGACAGGCTTTAGCGGTGCCAACACTGCCCGGCACAAGGCCGCCTCCACCGCGGGACCTGCGGGGGGTGGGGTGGGTGAGGGAGGGCGGCAGGTGGACCACGCCCGCCCGCCCCCCCACTGGCTTCTCCCACTGCCCTGGCTGCGGCAAGTGTAGACACTGTGCCTGCGTGGGGGGCAGGGAGTTGCTGTCCCAAGCGTGAGAGGGCGAAAGGCAGAGGTGGACATAGAGGTAGGGCCGGAGGAGGCCAGTAGGAGTCCAGGGGGTCCCGGGAGTGACCTAAGTTCCCTGCCAGTCCTCCTCATTACCAAAATCCTCGTCCTTTTTTGGGGCCCCATTCTCTCTGCTCCCAAAGATGGCCCTGGCATCCGGGGCCTTGGCCAAGTGATCCTGGAGGTCGGTGAGGAGGTGGCGCATATCCTGAAGCAGCTCTGTGGCGGGGTCCCCGGGCCTGTGCGGGCCCGCCTCCGAGGTCAGACGTGCCCGGAAGCCCCGGAACTGCCTGGCCACGTAGCTGCTCCGCGCCCGGACCAGGGCGCGCACGTGGCGGGTGAGCGCGTCCTCACACCCTTTGTCTTCATCCTTGTAGTTGTCAAGCTCCTCCTCCTCCTCCTCCTGCTCCGCCAGGCTGGCCAGAGCTGGCCCAGGAGGGTGTTCCTCAGGGCTGAGAGGGCCTTCCACCCAGGAGACCCGGTGAGGGGAGTGGTTCCTGGAGACTGGATGCGAGGACAGGGTGAGGTTCCACTGAGCAGCAGCAGCGGCAGCTCCCTCATCCCTGGGAGCCCAGAGCCCTGCCTAGCTCACCTGGAATGGGTTTCTTGGTGGGCTCTGGAGAGGTCTCTGGGGATCTTTGCTCCATTCCCCACCGGCCATGGGTATCCAAGTAGAGCTTGTTCACCATGGACAGCACCCCTCCTGTGCTGTTGACTTGGTCACTGTCACTCTGTGGCGGAGGATCTGTGGGCCGGCAGAGAGGAAACGCCCCAGATGTCTGAGGGGCCGGCCCTGGATCCTTTAGGGTACCTGGAGACCTCATGCCCAGTTTCAAAGCAGAGGAGCTGTGGTTTGGTCCATGACCCCATCCTCCCTCAAACTTAATAGTTCCGTCCCCCAAATGCCAGCCTGGCTGGAAAGTTGGCTTCTACTTTCCTGAGAGAACCAAGCCTCACCTGTGGTTTGGTCTCCAGGCCCTAGAATGGGAGGGGGCAGGAGCAGTGTCCTAGGCAAAATATCCCTGAGGAAAGATAAGAGGTAGTTGAAATGTTGTTGGGTATCGTAAGCAGGGGTGCCCCTTAACCCTTTTGATGGGTGAGCTGTACCTGCTGGCTGATAGGAAGGCCAGGAGATGGGGCAGGTCTGGCATGCAGAGGTTGGAGGATTCCAGAGACACACCTGGAGAGGGTCAAGAGGGACAAGGAAGATTTGAGGGGTGGTAACCTCCCCTCCCCCTAGGGTGCTCTTCCCAGATCTCTTTCTCCAAGGCTGTTGTACTCTTAGATAGACTTGGGCAGAACACCTGATTGATGTTTGAAAATACCATTAGGGGCCATGTCTGCATAGCACAGCACTATGAAACTGTCCACAGCCACTGCAGCATGAGTTCAGGGAGGCGACCCAATGACGCAGCAGACCTCTCCTGACCTGCCCGCTGCTCCCCTCAGCAGTGTGTTTCAGTCCATCTGCCTGTTCTGCTCCCCACTCTCTCTGGTGAATCCTCTCACCCCCGCACCTCTGGCTTGTACCTCAGTTCTTGTGTGCATAAGTACATAAATCTTAAAAAAAATATCACTGTGGCTGCTGGATCAGAGTGGATTGCAGTCAGGAGAGGATGGAAATAGAGACTAGAGAGGCATTGACTGCAATGATCTGGGCAAGATATGATGGTGCCTTAGACGAGGGTGATGGAGATGGAGAGGATTGGGAAGACTTGGGGCCTGTTTTAAAGTTGACCGCGCTTAGTGGTGAATGTACTGGAAACTCAGGAGTAGATTCCTCACCTCCGGGAAGCTTCTGGATCTGGTAGGTGTTGATTTTCTGTGGTAAATGTCCTGTTTTCAGCACCAGAACCTGGTTGGGGTTGTGTCCCATGACCAGGAAACTCTGGAGGTGGGGAGGGGGGTTGGAGACAAAGGTCAGCTTGAAGAAAATGTGTGGCCATCTTTGTTACTCTTAATTGTCTGGCATCCATCTCCCTTATGTTGGGTCTCACAGCCCAAATTGCCTTTGGAGGAACCCACCCCCTAGTTCCAGTCTGTCCAGTAGGACTACCACCTCCTAACCCACAGTCCTCGAGGGCTCCTCGCCGGCCACTGTGATTGGCTCAGAGATGGGCATGCAAACCAAGCTCAGCCAATGAAAATCTTCCCCAGGAAGATTTGGAAAGAGGTCTCCATTTACAACACTGTTGCTAACCTGGTGAGACAGACGTGGTGCTGACCTGGGGACAGCCTTCTCCACCCCCACGGGGGAAAGCCCTCCGCCGGCCAGGAGGAAGCTGTTGCCTTACCCAAATCTAGCCCTTATTTCTAGCTGTGTTCAGGGCATTCACATGCCCAACCAGACAATAGGTACTGCTTGCTTGGCGCAGGTACGCGTTCTCCCTGTGACTGTGTAGCTCCCAGGTGAGCTTTAAAGAAACATTGCTACCCAGGCCCCATCATATATCCTGAATCAGATGTGAAGGGTTTTGCTTCTGGCGAAAGAAATAGATGCAGCGGCTGCGTTCCTTTTCCCTCCTCACCCTACCCTTTTGCTGGGTTAAGGGCAGACACTGGCTGCAGTCAGGGCCATCCAGAGCGCAGCAGAGGCCCGCTGGGTACAGCGACTTGCTGAACCACAGTTGCAGCCTTTCTGGTGGTGAGAATGACTGCGCCTATTTGTAGGGGGTGGCTACAGAACAAGTGGTGTTCCTTGCAGCCCCAAACATTCAGAATCCCCCACAAGAAGTATGAAGGAACCAAAGCCAAGAAATGAAATGTCTAAGTGGCTGGATGCTCAGGACCCAGATATTCCTGAAACTGCTTTTTCTTTGGGGGGCGGGGGGTTCAGTCCTGCATTAATAAGCAGCCTTTGGGTTGGGCTGCCTTGGGTAGTGTTTACACTAGCAGCAGGCAGTCTTGACACATCCAGGGTATCATGGGTGAGTCAGAGAGGGTCCCCCTCTGTAGTACTTACCCCCGGGGGCCAAAGCTCCAGAAGGGCTTCTGCATTTGAGGTGTTGATCTCAGGGATCTGCCACACCCCTCGAGTCCTCTGCAGGCGAATGACTGGCTCTGGGGTTCCCAGAACCCCTAAGGTGGTCTCGGCTGCTCCATTTGTCTCTGATGGGACAAGCCTGGGCCGTGCAGAGGCCGGGAAGCCAGGGTCAGAGCTGGGGACTTGGGCACTGAGGTGGGGTCAAAGGTGTAGGAAGGAACAGCCCAGGGCCAAGGGACGGGTGGGCCCTGATAGAAGGGGTTTCTCAATCCCAGGGCGAGAGACGGAGACCTCAGACCCAGCGGCCCTTACCTTTCCCCGTTGCTGGGACCCGTGGAGGCCTTGTCGTCTGGCTTGGCCATGCTCAGGATGTGGGAGGCCAGTGAGTCATGGTCTGAACGCTGGTGGGAGGAAGGTAAGGTGCAAGGCTGTTCCAACCCAGGGGTAATATTAACACAGTTCACAACACTGGGCCTCTCTGGTGGTGCAGATATCAAGCTATCTGCAGCCACTGCAGCTTGAGTTCAATCCCCAGCCAGGGAGCTGACCCACATGGCACAGCAGACCTCTCCTGTCTCCCCGCTGCTCCCCTCAGCAGTGGATTTCAGTCAGTCTGACTGTTCTGCTCCCCACTCTGTCTCTGGTGAGTCCTCTCACACACCCCGCCCCCACACCTCTGGCCTACACCCCAGCTCTTGTATGCCTATAATCTGCCAACTCCATGGCAGAGACCCTGACCCATCAGAATGGACCCATGCCTCTTTATGGGGCCAACTGTAAATTCCTGATTCTATGGATGGTGGGAAGATCTGGGGGTCCCAGAAGGGAGACTGGTGTGTCTTGGGGTCAGAGGAGATGGAAAGGACTCAAAATGACAGTTATTGAGCAAGTGGGAGGGGATGAGCCCTCCTGGCACCACAGTGCCAACAAAGCCAAACCCAGTGCCAGGAGCAGTGTGGTTGGCCACTCAGCACAGGCACTTGAACTTGACAGATGCTTTTTCCCTTTATCCCAGTCCATGGAGGAGCCCTGAAATACCCCCTCACCCATATTTTCAAGCATTCTAGAAAAGTGTCAGAAGCTTACCACACCCATCGGCCCAGTTTCAGCTTCTGCCCTGACATCTCACACATCTGTCCCTCTAGCCATCCCTCGGACCCCGACTCTTGGGAAGAGTCCCACAGGGGGGTTATCACTTAAGGTGGCTTCTTTGACTATTTATGCTGGACTCAGTAGGCACCCTGGATTCAGGGAGGGTCTGTGCACACACATACCCAACACATCTTTATGGAGAGCAGGCCTAGAATTCGGTGCCAGTGCCCTAGGGTTGGGTGACAGGCCAGCCCCTGCCTCAGAGCAGGACTCAGGTGGGCACAGGGCGTGGGTAATACACAGCTAAATAAAACAATCAGCCCACTGGCCAAAGTCAGGGGTTTTAGGAGGGAGGGGCGGGGTGCAGAGAGCAGGTGCCATCTAGGAGCGAGCAGGAGTTGGAGGAGGAGGCAGGTGTCCACCTGGGTCCCTGGGAGGGGAGAAGGGGGAGGGTTGGGTGAGAGGGGGACAGCTACTGGGACCCAAGGGAGGCATTGGGGAGGAGGGTAAAGGTGCCAGCTGTTGGGTCCCTGGGGGCCCTACCTGTTCTCCGAGGGGAGGCCTGGAGTAGCAGGAAGTGAAAGTGTTCCTCGCAGTGAGAGGAAGCTGTGCTGGCTGGGGGAAGAGGCGGGGCTGGGGGTATCTGAAATCTACCTTCCTCTCATTTTCCGGGGGCTTAGGCCATAGTGACTGGGCTGTGGTGGAAGGGACCCTGGCATACAGGGCTAGGAGCCCCGAGGCTCCCACAGCCCCAGAATCCACCGCTCTGCTTCTCCCAAGCCTGCAAAGGCTCTGGCCTCCTGGGTGCTCAGCCCTAACCCCTCCTCCCTCCAGCTGCTTCCCGGTGTGGCCACAGAAAGGAACAGAGGCCAGACAGCTGGCTGTTAGTTGTTGTTTGTTTTTATTCATTTCCAATAAGCAACATTATCTGCCCCACCCTGCTGGAAGTGGGGCCCAAGGTGAAGGGGCCCAGCACCCACCAGGGAACTGGAGGCAGAGACTGGGGAGGCGGGCAGGTTCAACACCCCACGCTGAGTGTGAGCTGCTGGTAGGGCCCCGCCCGCCCAGGGTGGGTTAGATTTCATCCACTTGGCCACGAGCCCTTGGGAGCAGAAGAGAGTGTGGGCGCCTGAGCCCCCATCCTGGCACAGTTGTGAGTCTGGAGGCCCCTCCGGCCTCAGTTAGAAGTTAGGGGAGCTTGATCCTTGTCCAGGGGAGTGGTGAGAGGCTGTGGCTGTTAGAGGTGAGCTGTCCAAGTCAGCCCCAGAGATGTTAGAGATTCACGGGGGCAGGGGCTGGGGGGCTGGCACCCCGGTTCGGGAGGGAGTTGTTAAGAGGCTGGGGAAATGCTCTGAGTTTCCAAGATAAGAGCTGCAAGTTAGAAGGGGCTGGGAGGGGGTGGTGGTGCAGGCTCCACCATCCCAGAGGAGCGGGGTGTCCGCTGGGGTGACACAGCTGTCACTGGGGCTTCGCCTCCGTGGTCCTGGTCTCCTCCTTGGCCGGAGACTTCCTGGGGGAAGCTGAAGAGGTGGGGTTGGGGTTTGCTGACCCTGACTGGGCATCTATGCTGGCATGTTCCTTCCGGACAAGGTCCTCCAGCTCCTTCTGCAAGGGGCAAAGTTCACAGAGGTCACCATGGGGCAGAATAGGGCCCGGGGACTGGGCTGAGGGTGGGCTGGGTGGCCCAGGCGCCTCACCTTCCATCCGAGGAGTTCAGCAAAGGCCAGGCAGCCCTGGTCGCAGTCACCCAGCCAGGCCACGTCCCTGCGGGCAGGTGGGAGCGTCAGAGGCCCTGGGTTTGTTCCAGGCCCCCCCGTCCCGCCTCCCCTGCATCTGTCCCTTGCAGGCCCATCCCCACCTGTAGGCCTTCTTGGAGTCGAAGTCCATGCCTCCTCCCATGCCCATCATCATTCCCAGGAAAGGGTCAGTCTGTAAGGGGGGGGGATGTGAGTGGGGAGCTGACCTCAGGGCTCAGATCCTAGAGCCGGTGGCTTGGGTTTGCACCCCAATTTGTGACTTTGCTAAAGTTAGAAGGGGCCCACCTCTCTGAATGCAGCTTCCTTAGCTATAGAGTGGGGGTGACCATTGCACCCCCAGGGCTGTGCTGGCAGTGGCTCGTGCACAGGGAGCGCTCAGAGCAGCGTCTGACATGTGCGTTTTGCCTGCTGAGGAGCCTTCCTGGGGGAGGGGCTGGTCCTGCCTGGGGTGGGGCCCTGAGAGGGCCCCAGGCCTGCTAGCTCCTACTCTCCAGCCCCAGAAAGCCGCTTCAAGATGGGGCTCTGTTGCTTGCTCCAAACGGTGAGGGACCCCGGAACCTCCTCCAGATTCCAGAATCTCTGGGTCTCAGCTGAGGGGTCTAAAGAATTGGGATTCCCTGGAAACCCGTCCCCAGGTTCCCCAGGAAGCCGGCGGGAGGTGGCGTGGGGGGAGGGTACGAGCAGAGCCCACTTACCTGGCCAGTCTTCTCCTTGTTGATGAGCAGGCGCGGGGTGGACAGGGGGGCCCTGGGGGTGGCAGTGATTTGAGGACCTGCCCTGGCTTCCCAGCCCCCCGCCCTGATCCCCAACCTACTTGCTGATGAGGGATGCAAAGGGCTGCACTTGCAGGGAGGTGCCCATGATGATGAGGAGGTCGGCTTTCTGGAAGTCCTGTGGGGATGGCCAGTGAGGGCTGGGATGGTGGCTGAGGCTCCCCCCTACCCCCTCCAGTTAGTTGGGGAGGTGGCTGCTTCCCGGGGGCCCACCGGGTGTGGCAGACCCACTTACTGACTGCATGCAGGAGAAGAAACGCGCTGGGAGGTTCTCACCGAAGAACACGATGTCTGAGGTGAAGACAGACGCCAGACAGGAGACAGTGAGGCAGGCGTGGGGGGTGGACTGAGCGTGCCCAGGGGACAGGCCGGGGCTGCAGAGCCCACTGTCCCCTAGAATGGGTCCGGCTGTGGCTCAGGGTGGCATGGCTGAGATGGGTGGCCGGGGAGTATGGCCTTTTTTGGGGAGGGGTGGGGGGTTCCCAGGCCCCAGGCTCACCAGGCTTCACCACGCTCTGACATTTCTCACACTTGGGCGTCACCTCGGAGAAGATCTTCTCTGGGCGGGGGGAGAAGGGACAGTGAGCGGCTGCCCTGCCTGCCATCGCCCCTTTGCAGCCAACACAAGCACACCTCGGTCACTGCGGGACCTCCCAGGGCCTTTGTCCCGCTCCGACCTCCGTCCACCCCCCGGGATTCCAGCGAGGCTCCCGGCACTCAGCTTGTAGCTGCTGAATTAGAAAATAAACCAACAGAGGAACAAGCAAACGAGCAGATACTGGTCTCCAGGCCCCACTGGGGGGATGTGGACTCAGGACAGAGGCTGTCCTGGTGGGTCTCAGAGCAGCCCTGTGTCACGCTGGGTCAGAGAGGCCTGGTGGGCGCCAGGCCTGGGGGCAAGGAGCGGGGAGAAGACGCAGCCGGTCCTGGGGTGAGACGCCACCGCGCCCCACTCTTGGCTTCTGTGAGTCCCCTCCTCCCAGCTGCCCGCGGACAGTCCTGCTCCCTACTGCTTATTGACTGAGGAAGCTTGAAAGCATTTCTGTCACTTGCGGCCCACAGAATCCCAGCTTGTTCATTCGACCATGTATCCATCCCCTCAGCAGTTATCTGCAGAGCACTGTGGTGTCCGTCTGTGCCGACAGCACACTATTGTGTGGGTGCGTGTGGGGCTGCGGGGGGTGAGACTCAGGGGCGATGTCCACTGTGCGGTCCCCTCAGCGGCGGGCAGCCGGGCTATTCAGGAGCCCTCAGCCCAGCCACTGTGCCACAGCGGTCCTCGTCTCCCATGGACACCAGGACCTTTGTGAATTGGCTTCTTACTTAGCACAAAGGGAGTCAGAAATAGACTCCGCTGGCATTTCAGCAGTGTGCACTGTCTGGACCCTCTGCTTTCTCTGGGCCTCTGCCCTTACATGAGCAGGGAGTGTGGCTTGTCCTCTGCACCCCTAAGGGAAGCCCCCACCTTCGCCCCTCACCCGGCTTGGGCTGGCTTTACGCTCCAAGGATTGTGCTGTGTGAATCTCCCTGCTGGGCACGCAGGGGCCAGAGGGTGCCGTCCAGTATGGTGGGCACAGCCTCTGTGGCTTTTTCAGTGACTAAAAGTGAAAGAAAACTGGCGCTGGGGTTTCTGGGCTCCGCCAGCCACGTCCCAGGTGCTCAGTGCCCATTTGTGGCAGGTGGCAGCCCTGCCACCGCAGATAGGGCAGCAGATAGGGAATAATTTCTGCATCTAGAAAGTGTGGCGGGAATGGCTCGTCATGGGCCTTTCTTGTAACATGGGGTCAGAGCAGCAGGGCGATGAGCAGGGACTCATGACCTTCCCAGAGTGACACCTGTGAGTGCCCGGCCCGGAGTGTGACCCCCTGCACGGGCCTGGAGCCTGCCTCCACTGTCACCTGGCTATGAGGTGGTGCTGGAAGCCACACTCTCCCACTGCTACCTCAGATCTTCACGGGCTGCCATGTTCTGCCCCACAGAGCCACAGAGTGAGCAGGCAGACCCTGCCTGCAGGTTCCTGGGGCCCCTCACCTCTCATCCAGCTGAGGGGGTACTCCCGCCGGCAGACGGGGCTGACACAGTGTGACGTGTGGAAGGTGCCGTGGGCTTCTACCAGGTCCTCGGGCTCCAGCCCAGCCACTCGCTCCAGGGTGTCTATGTTCTGCAGGGAAGGATGGGGGGGGGGGTGCAGGAAGCAGCTCAGTGAGAAGCAAGTGGAACAGGAGGGGGGATAGAAGTAACCCTGTGCGGGGCGCGAAACTGCGTTCCCACGGTGCCACTGAAAGGGTCAAAGTCACGGACACGGAAAGGCCGGGCTGAACATGCGTCTCAGGGGCCGGCCCTGCGCCGCCAGCCCAAGATGCTTTGCTTCCACTTTTCGGAGCATTTGTTCCTTGAGAACCAGATCCTCAGTGCCACCCACCAGGGCTTCCCCTAAACTCCCCTCGGCGGGACCTGGTGCAGTGCCCGACCCGCACACCCACATCCGGCAGCCCTGGCTGCGCTTGGGCAGGAACAGTCTCCCTGCTTGCTGGCCAGGTGTCTCCCTGCCCGTCTCCTCAGCGTGACGACACACCGACTTGTGCGCTTTTAAGACACAGACACTTTCCTTATTCATCAGGCCAGAACACTCCCTCCCACAGGGCCGCTGTGGCCTCTCGCGTTCTTGACGCACACAGCCCCTCTGGGGCAGCTTTTGTCTGCCTGTGAGGAGGGCTGGGGGCAGGTGCTGACGGGGTCCCTGGCAGCTGTCACGGAGACAGCTGTAGCGTGCAGCTCACAGCTGAACCAACAAAGCTTCCCAGAGAGCCCGCGAACAACAGAAGGAGTCCTTTCCAGGGCAGATGGCTCCGACACTCACTGCTCCCCGCCAGCCATCAGCTGGCCGCCTCCGCTTGCGGACTCTCAGCGGCTTGCTCCTGGCACCCCCGCCCCAGGCCACATTTGTCTCGCCTTTGTGACTCCACCCCAGCGTCTGAGTGAGCAGAGTGTGACAGATCACTACAGGCACACAAGAGGGGCGCCTCTTGGGACAGAGAAGTCACAAACACACACAAAAGAATGA